ACCACATCTTTCTGCTTGTTTCGGCCTGGGAGCAGGGGACCTTGGTACAGGTTGTCCGTCCAATAACTGTGATGGAAATGTGCACAAGATATCCATTTGGAGCACAGACGATGACGGCCTGTAGGAAGTTCACTTCCCTGAGCATACAAATAATTTGGCCCTATCCACACCAGCCATCTGGTGGATATCTTGTCAACGCCATTACAACCTTCTGGCTCTGAAAAATACTCATTTTAATTAATGAATGCCAGGAGAAAGAAGAAATATTTAAGTAAGACGTATATTTTCCCATTAAGTTTTTCAATCGGGCAAAATGCGAACCCCTAGCTTTCTCGTGTGGCACTCAGCTTCTCTCCATCCTCGTTCTTCCCTGTGCCAAACAGAACTGGCAGAGAGAAAGGAAGAACCACGCATTACAAGTTAGGTGGCAGCCCAGGTCCAAAACTGGACAGGATTATTCTGCTGCAGCTCTTCAGAGAGCCCAGGGCCCCGACTTTTCAGAACACCCTGGGTAAGGCAGACTGTGAAGAGGAAACGGAGTCTGAAAACAGTGCTTCACAAGCAGGAGATGATTTCTCGTGAACGTGTAGAAAATTATCTTTCCCTCAACACTGCAGCCCAAGCATTTCGGACGTTGGTCACAGATGGACTTAGGAATGTTCTTCTTCCTTCAGCAGACTCCCTGCTGATGGTTTCCCGTCTTCCCAGACACCTATCGGCTTTGTTTTCACTTGTCCCAAGAAGTGCTGAGAAAGCTATTTCTCACTCTCCTTGTGGACTATTAATGCCTCTCCCTACAGCTCTTGCAGCTAATTTATCATAAGCAGGCCATCTCTCATCAGAATACTTAATTGTTTCACCCTGATGACTGAGCATGACTGAGCAGGAGCGAGTCGGTGCATCTCTCTCCATTTCTTTCTGCTCTTTTCCCCTTGGCTTGTGTTCATCATCACCATCCTCACTCTTCCCTTTGAAAACACATTCTCACGCCACCTGAGATCTCCCTGCCCCTACAATCATCCTGATCTCCTTGTCTTGACTGATTCGGGAGTTCACCTTTGTCATCAGAAAGACCTGGAAGCCAACTCCAGGTGCCAAGTGAGATGGACATTAGTCGTCCATATTCCCTGCAGAACCTTGGGCTCTCTTGTTTTTGGAACCCCAAGAACGCTAGCCCAAGGCAAAGTTCTTTCAGGGTCTCTGAAATTAGAGACTATGCTGAAAGATTCAGCAGCAAAGGGGACTTGATGACCCCGTGGACCCTTTTAATAGGAAGACCCAAAATTGATCACCATCCTGCGTCTTTCCAAGCATGAGGCCCACAAGGGGCACTTCCGCTGTTTTCCACGGAGAGGTGGGTGCTGCGTGCTGATTTGCCGCAGGTCTTGCCCAGGCATCCTTCTGACAGTGTTAATGCATCAGTAAGGCAGTGAGCTAGCCCGAGTGCCAGTGGAACCCAGAACCGTGCTCCGAGGGCACCCTCCCCAGCGAGCCTGCCACCAGCAGCACCCATCCGGGCTGCGGAGGGGAAGGCATCTCGGCATCTCAACATCTGTGCACTAGTTGCTGGCAAGGATCAGATGGTCAGTTCCCAAACTGGGCCATAAACTGTGGTTAGGTGTGGGATGGAAGGTCATCTCGTGAGAGAGTCATTCAATAAACAGATGCTGAGCACCTGCTGTGTGCGAGACGCCTGTCCAGAGCTGGAGACAGAGAGAAGTCGACCCAGCCCTTGTGGGGAAAGCTCTCTCTTTAGCTTTGAGCAAGAGTAAGATCAATTTTGAGTAATATGACTCTAGGGGAGAAAGTGGAGCAAGCAATAATCACTTTTGTCTATATCCCGAGTGCCGTGTGTGGGCGTGTGTTTTGAAGTGGCGGAGGGGAAGACCAGTCTGAAAGTGTCAGACATCCGAGAAAACGGGGCTGCGCCTGCACTGAGTGATTCATCCTCCTGAGAGGCTCAGGAAGCCAGTTGTAATTAGATATATTTTTTTCTATTACTTAAAATGAAACAACTAATTAAATCCTTAATTAATGTTCTTAAACTACCTTGGGATAAGAAGTGCCGGAGAAGTTATTCCAAGTGCTAAATATTACTGTGAAGTCCCAGGGAGCAGTTTGCTCATGTGTTCACTCTCTAGACCATGCGAGAAGGCTCAGGCTGTGAGTAAAAGTCATTTCAAATGCAACTGGCAAAATGTTTAAAGTTTCTTCTTCCCCTTGGTTTTCCCCGAGGTTTTCCCCGTGGCCTCTGTTAAGACTTTCACTCTTGATTGACTATCACCTTTGATCAAGCCCTCAGCCGCTTAAGGTTTTTAGGGGGAAAGCTTGTTTAGAAGCTTTAGCTCGTTCTGGGCCCCTCTGTAAAGTGTCTAGCTTATCAAGCGCAGGCTGTACGCAATAATGAAATTTCCCTTGTGGGGTGCATTTCATCTTTAAAGCCCTAGAAGTTATAAACAGACTGATAAAACCACGTTGGGAGGCAGTCAGTCAACAGTAAACATCTACTTAATTTCTGTGTCCGAGTCTCTGCCCCTGTAAGCTGTCGGGGGCTGGCGTTTGCCCTGCTCCACACTCCTTCTGTCATCCATCCCCCACCCCCGCCCAACAGAGTGAATGAGCTGAGCAGCCTAAAGCATCATGCACACAAGGCTCATGGTTCAGAGACAGATCACAGGGACGTTCTCTTTAGTTCCTGGGAAGTCCTCGGAAGTTTGCGTGGAAGGTCTCGATATCGTGGAAGAGCAAGCAGAATTTTATTAGGTGGTTCTCTGGCAGGTGATGTCTCTTAGATTCAAGCAGAGAGGATATTTCACATCTGGGAAATTTTTTAATGTCTTTTTTTAATTATGCAGATGTTCACATCCGCGGACCCTTCCCTTGTGTGGAATTGTTTTCGTTTCCCTTGACAAGTTCCTTGGCTCACCCTAAAGTTAATCTGCAGTGATCGAAGCCAGCTAATGACGGATGTGAACTCTCTTTGTTGCTGTTAGTGCTGTCAGGCTGATTCTGACTCCCGGCGACCCTGTGGACAGCAGAGCGGAACCCTGCTCAGTCCTGTGTGCCATCCTCTCCCCTTCTGGCGCTGCATCAGACAATCTCCGCTGCTGTTCACAGGGTTTTCGTGGCCAAATTTTTTTGGAAGTGGGTGGCCAGGTCCTTCTTCCTAGTCTGGAAGCTCCACTGAAACCTGTCCACCATGGGTGATCCTGTTGGTATTTGAAATCCCGGTGGCACAGCTTTCAGCATCACAGCATCGTGCAGCCACCACAGTGTGACAACCCACAGATGGGTGGTGTGGTTCCCTGACCAGGAAACGAACCCAGGCCACCGGAGTGAGAGCACCGAATCTTTACCTCTAGACCCCCAGGGCTGGCCACAAACTCTCTAGGACCACTATTTTTTATTTTACCCACTTTATATTCATGTCTGGAAACATTTAGTATTTATGTGGATACAGTCAAAGTATATGTTTTAAAATGAATTTATTCATGTTAATGGATGGAAGAACACATTATAGAATCACTTAGAAACCTAGAAACATATAAAACAAAAACTTAGTGGAAAGCTAAAATCCAAAGAAAGTCTTGCAGATTTCACTTGAGAATGCATTTAGTTTTCTGATGCTTTACATGTTCTCAAATTGGAAAACATAACCATATTTTAATTTACAAGTTCAGAAATGTGCAGGATATAATCGATTACATTTTAAAAAGAAAGAGGTAGTACAGATTAGCTAGCATAGTGATCCTCAACAATGTCTGCATGTTCGTAAATCTGGGGCGTTTTTAAAAGTGCCAGTGCCTGGGCTTCAGCCCCAGAGTTTGGGAATTCACTGATCTGGGATGGGGATGGGGCCTAGGCAGCCCTGTCAAAGGTGCCGAGGAATCTGGTGTGTAGCCGGGTTTGAGAATTCCGTGTACGTGAAGCTGACTTTTCTCATATTTAGCAGAGTTCTTTTTCCCATCCAGCAAACTCCACCTAAACTAGCAGAATTGTTCTCCGGCCCAGAGGTAAAGCAGTTCTCACAGCCACCCCAAGGGAGGTCTGGCTCCCAGGAAGAGTGCTGCCGACGCCAAGTGGGAGCTCCCCAGAGGCGTCTGGGGCCGGGTCTCAGCACCGTGCTGGGCATGGGGCTAGAACAGTCCCTTCTCCGCCCTGATGGAACCCTGGACGTGGAGTCAGGAGACCTGAGAAGAGTCCCTGCTCCATCGTCTCTTCTCTGAGTGGCCTCAGTTAACCTATCTAGCCTTTCTGGGCCTCCGTTTTCCTCATCTGAATGAGGACAGTCATGCCTTCCCAGACTAGTGAGAATAAATAAAACACAGATGAACAGACTTTGCCACCTGTGCAGCGCTACAGAACTGGCAAGTTTGGCTATGGACTGTGTACCTCTGGGGATCACCCTGAATGCTGAGGTCGTCTCCTCAGTGGTCCCCGCCAAGCCCATCATCAGTCAGCTCTCAAGGGCGAGTTTCGGGGCAGAAGCCCTGGAAGCCCATGTGAGCGCCGCCAGGGCCAGGGATGGGAGGGGGATCCACGTGGGCCAAGACACCGCTGCCTTCCCTGCGCCCGGCGGCATCAGAGGCACCGTCTGACTGTGGAACTCACCCTGGAAACACTGGCAGAAGGGAGTGTCCAGGCCCTTCCTGCAGAAGGAGTCTGTCTTCTCATTTTGCAGAATATTTTTCCCAGCACAGTAGTCTCAGTGGCTGTAGGACTAGTGGAAGTGAGAGGCAGAGGAGTGTGTTGGTTACGAGCCTGGCCTCGAATGCCTGCTCTGTTTGGCCTCGTACAAGTTATTTCACCCGTCTGTGCCTCAGTTTCCTCATCTGTGCAATGGGGATCACAGTAGCACTGACCTCATCGACCTGTTGTCAGAATGAAATGAGTTAATATATACAAAGCCCTGAGCCCGGTGCTGGCTTACAGTACTGCCGGGTAGGGGTTTGCTGCTGCACCATATGGGGCTAACCTGTGTCTCCCCCCTCCCGCCCCAGCGCCCAGCCCCGTGTGTAACGGCTTTGACAGCACCCTCTCGAGGCCTTGCAGGGTGCCCCTAGGAAAGGAGGTCTGCTTCATCGCTACCGTTCGTCTGGCAACACCACAGTTCTTAAAGGCAAGTACCTGGGAGAGAACTCATGCAGAACCTTGACGATTGAGTCACATTTAATTACAGTTAGTTAATTGTCTTCATGGGAAAGAATAAAACCACAATGGAGTTGTCACTGACTTAGAAGATTTAAAACGTCTGGTTTCTGTACCTATGTCAGCCCACAGGCCCTTTCCCCCGACTCCAGCTCCTGCGAGCTGTTTTGTTTGCAGGCAGCATCAACTGCTGTTCGGCCTGCAGACACGCTCTTTTGTAACTCTGTAAACTTTCCTACTGTTCACACCAACACTGATACCACTCAGGGCAGGCATAGGGGAGAACTGAGTGTCAAAACTGACGGTTTGTCTGTGTTCTCTCGTCTGTGATTGCTTTAACATCTATGGCATGAATATTGAGTTAAATTAGTAACTCAGATTCAGAGGAAAAGCCATTTTCCACATGTTTACCACACTTCTAGATAATGGGAAGGGAGTGGTGTGACATTTTGGCTCCTAGGTATTTTTCCCCAGCTTGTGAAATAAATTTAGTATCAGCTAATACCGAAATTAGCTACAGATGATGAGTTTCAGGCCAACACAGCTTGGAGACTTGCTCTGAATGATTTTAGCTTCTGGTACCCACCATGCATTCTTGAACATAGCGAGGGTGAGCATCTGGCACTCCAAGCAACATTTTTTTCCCTTCTAATACAGGAAATGTGCATAGTTGACGAACCTTTGGAGGAATTCACTTCAAGGCATAGCTTGGAATGGAAATTTTTATTTCTGGATCACAGGTTTGTGAAAAGAAAAACATATTTGGGTTGGGTCCTTTTCAACTGTTTGTTTGCATGAGCCCTGCTCTCCTTGGGAGAGAAAAGTTGAGCCAGGTCCCTTCAAGGAGAAGGACTTTCTGGCGGGAGGAAAAGGGGTTCCCAGCCAAGGGTGAGGTGCCTTCCCTTCCGCTGCATTCGCCCCTTCTGTGGGTACATTCTGTTTGCGTCAGACCATCTCAGGAGAGCCAGATGCCGCAGCCGGGGACATCTTTGGAATACCCCCCCACCGCGCTCAAGACCCTCTCCAGCTCCCTTTAAGGCAGGAGCTGACGTCAGGGAAACTTCTCATCCTCTTTCTTTCAACACCTTTTTGTCCCTTTGGTGCAATCTTCTTTTTTTTTTTTTTTTCTTCTGTAACATTTTTCACGGTTTAGGAACTAGAAATCTCTCCTCACCCTGTAATTTCTTATTACACTTTGGGGTTGGGCTGACCCAGTCTCAAGATGTTTTTAATTACTCAGTAGTGATAAAGTTTATTGTTACTTGGGCCAGGTTATGCCAGGGGAACAGAATATCTAAGTGCCAAAAAATTTGAGCACTTTGGAAAACACGGCCTCTCCGGTTTTGACCATTGCAAAATTATTTTCCTGCCCTTGTTCTTGAGAAATGAGGCCTCCGCATTGGTCATTAAACATGTAACTGTACCCTCCGCCTTGAGGCACAGCCACCATGGTGAGTCCTGCCATGTCCTTCCTCCCCAATGAACGGTCCCCGTTGTCCTTTCAGAGCCCCACCCATCATAGGATACCTGCCTTTTGAAGTTCTGGGAACCTCGGGCTATGACTACTACCACATCGATGATCTGGAGCTCCTGGCCAGGTGCCACCAGCACTGTGAGTACCACACACCCAGCCCCAGCACCCAAGGGCCTCCTGCTGTCTCCACGGAGCCGTGACAGCCAGATGCTTGGCCCTGGAAGTCTGCTTATGTCTTGGTTTCTCTCTGAGGCAGAGGACTTTGTCTTCTCTAAATGACCAAGGAGTGTGGTGGAGGTCCTTGTCTGGATCACCCCCATGTTGTGTTTTCAGCTGTCATTGACCTTGTCCTGCCTACCCCCACCCCCCAACGCCATCCTAGTATCCCTCAGCTATGCAGCCTATTTCATCTTACTTGAGAAAACTAAGGTGATGCTGGTCATTTTTTTTTAAGTTATGCAATACATTTCAAAGACAAAATACTGCATTCACGTAACTGTTCTTTAGTCAGCAAACATGTACTGGTCACAAACTACAGCCAGATCTGAGCTGGGCCCGGGACGGAGAGATGATCAGAATCTCCTTGCCGCCCTGCAGGAGCAAGGTCTGATGGAAAAGCAGACATAGGCGACTTTATAAGATGTTCTCAGTGCATAGAAGGGGACGTACATGGGATATTGGGGGACTCAGAGGAGGGTCCCTCACCCAGCTGGGGGAGGGGGTCAGGGAAGGCTGTTGCCGCAGAAGAGGGGAACAAGCCAGCAAAGTTACAGGAGGCAGGACTCATGGTGTGGGGACGGGGGATCTGCAAGCATACCTGCTGTCTCACCTAGCAGGAGGAGTCAAGAATTAACCACTCAGAGCCATATATTCGGGGCCAAGTTCCAGCTTTGACCAGGAACATTTGTAGTAATAGTGACCTGTGGCGCCTCATCCGGGACTGACCACCAACGCTGTCTCTGATGGGTACCCTGTCTGTCTGTAGTACCCATTATAACCTTCTCTTCTCTGCTCTTCTTGTGGACAAAAGAACAGGCTTGAGTGCCATCAGGATCCGCTGTTAGAATTGAAGGCTAATCTTTAAAACTTGAACCCCTTGCTCCTCAAAGTGTGGTTGTCCAGCGGCAGCATGGACGTCACAAGGAGTCTGCTGGACCCACAGACTCTCAGGCTCCTGCGCAGGCCTGCAGAGTCAGAACGTCCACCATAACAAGACCCCCAAGGGATTCGCGGGCCCGGGACAATCTGAGCAGCACGGCTCCTTCGAGCCAGTGCTGCTTCCTTCTGGCTCTTCTAACAGAGAACAGCGTCCTGCTTGTAGAATCCCCTTCACGTCTGAAGGGCCTGCCTGTGGCTCGGGCGAGACGTTCTCGCTCTGTCGAGCCCACGCCCTTATTCACTGGGCTTCTCTCCTCTTTGGAGAGAAAAGACAGTGGCTCTTTTTGTAGCTTTGGTTTCTTAGTTATGATTTCTCCTAATATTTGCATAAAGAGGTACTAAATTCCAGGCAATGAGGCAATAAAACCCAAATTGTTCTCCTTCCTTGGCCCCACGGTCCAGCTTCCTGCCTTGCACAGGATAATAAACCAACAGCATGCAGTCTGTCCTGGACACCCCCAGAGCAGCCCTCTCAGACATAACCCTGGGGGCTGCGGGCAGCCCTGCAGCCGCGGGGCCCAGGTGGAAAGCACCTGTAGCCGACTCTCTCTCGGAAGCGTGCAGACTGGGGATGCAGTGCTGACTGACAGCCGCAGATCCCTCCAGAGCTGGGCTGCCAGGTCTGTTCCGGGGGTCTGGAGTGTCTCCCGTGCTCAGCTCCCGCGGCTCCAGAGACAGCTCCGCCTGCCACAGGCAGATGCGCACCAGGAAAACCCAGGCCTCTCTTGAATCAGACCTCCAGTTTGAGACTTTGTCTGCATCTGCCCTTGTCTGAGGGTCTCTTGAGCTTGTGAGCACTTGGGAAAGCGTGTGGATGGCGCTTCCATTGTTTAAGAATTCATTGTCGCTTACCGTTATCGTGATAGTCACTTAAAATACAGCGCCGCTGTTCGGCGTTGTCTTTTTGAGAGCTTGTATTTTTAACAATGAGTTTTGGGGAAGAGGTCATTTCGTGTTAACATTCGTTCCACGCAGACTCCATTTTCCACCAACAGTGATGCAGTTTGGCAAAGGGAAGTCGTGCTGCTACCGGTTTCTGACCAAAGGCCAGCAGTGGATTTGGCTGCAGACGCACTACTACATCACCTACCACCAGTGGAACTCCAAGCCCGAGTTCATCGTGTGCACGCACTCGGTCGTCAGGTACGGCTGGGGCGGGTATGCAGGCGAGGCCCGGTCAGGGCGCAGCCATCTGGTCGTCCTCGTCTCTGAGGAGCAGGCCCCGGGCTGGAGTTCCTGAGCTGGCCCGGGCCGTCCTCTGCAGTTGACAGAATCCTCAGCAGAGCTCAGTTCCCTCCCAGGTGCTCAGCCAGCTCTGCTCTCCCGGGCTCGCTTCCTCCGAGCACTCGGTCGGGCCCCGGAACGCCTCCGGAGCTCTCAGGCTGCCAGGCTATGACTTAGCGAGTTACTGCTTCACTGACCTACTTACATATTTTCCCCTCATCTCTATCCATCCCCAGCCTTCCCTTGTTGCTGTTTTGAGAAGAAAATTAAAATTTTCCTCTAAGTAACTCAAAGACATAGTCCCCTTTATTTTTTATGCTTTAAAAAACCCTGCTGGCAACTGAGGCAGTGTTGGGAACAGAGCCAGGCTGCCGGTGGGAAAGGGCTCTTGGAGGGTCCTGGTGGCCTCAGGGAGCCGTCAGCCCCATGTGGGTGAGCTGTGCTTCCAAGGGAGACAGCATAGCCAGCATTTCATAGATGCAGCCTTTGTGGGGTCACAGTTCCCAAAGGTAAAGCAGAAATGTCATTCATTTTTTTGCCCTGACTACAGAAATTTTAAGAACATAAGTCCGTTTTAAACTGGTCTAGAGAAGAGCATTTGAGGAGAGCAAAGAAAGAAAGGTTAGAAGGACTACTTGTTATATATACTGTCATGCGCTGCATAACGACATTTCAGTCAATGACAGACCCCATATACGATGGTGGTCCCATAAGATTAGTACCATACAGCCTAGGTGTGTAGTAGGCTATACCATCTAGGTTTGTGTAAGTGCACTCTATGACGTACTGTGACGAAATCACCTAATGATGCATTTCGCAGAATGTGTCCCCATGGTCGAGTGATGCATGACAGTACATATAACAGATAGATGATAAATAGACAGATGGATACGTGTACATACATATAGATACTATACATACATCTGCATTTTATATGTATATATGAGAGAGAGATGATAGAGAGTAGATAGGTAGGTAGGTGGGTAGACAGATAGATAAATGGATAGATACCATATATACATCCATGCGCACACACACATGCATATATATAGTCAAAAAGTCAGTCCCTCTTCTTTAGTAAGTGGGGAGAGAGGACAGATGAGAAGTGCTAGTCTTTCTTGGCCAGTGACCCTGATCATCACATTCGTGGCCACCCTCAGGGACTGGATCTTGGCTTCCTAGCCCACCCTTGGGCACTTCAGCAGCCAGTGGTTTCCGATTCCATGGTCAGTCCCACCCACTGCCACCCAGCCTGGGCCTTTGCCAGAGGGTCCCTTTGCCCCCAGGGAAGGCTGGACATTATCAACACCTTGTTCTTCAGACTCTGCTTGACCCTGCTCTTCCTCTCCATCCTCCACCTCCCAGGTCTTAGAAAGAAACTCTCAAAGGAAGTAGGGAGGGAACTAATTAGACAAGAACCATTCTGGAGGCACAAGAGCCACCGTCACTCCCAAGCCCCCTCGCCCAGCCTGCACGTGCACACTCGAGGCAAAGCCATACCTGGGTCACTTTGGCCACCACCACATTGAATTGATTACCCACGCTATTTAAAAAGTGGCTCCATAGACTGATCAGAGGTCTGGGTCTGGGTCTAGATCTGTTTGAGAGAAAACTCTCTGAAGTTTGTAATTACTAAAAAAGTTATGTGTCACTTCCCATACGCACAGTCCAGACTGAGTCGCTTTTAAGAAAGGCTTCTAATTATTTGAAGGCTGAGGCTTTTCCTGTAGATGAAAACGTTTCTAAAGACAATCGTTTTTGGAGGTTTCGGAGGGAAAAAAGGTAAGTAAAGTAGAAGGGAATAAAAACATCCTGGAAAGGAAAATATTCTGAATGTCACATTAGAAGTCACTCCAGTGGAATTCAGGCACAGAATGAAACCGCTTCCCCAAACAAGTACCAGGACTCCGTGGTGACTATCCTGGGAGGGGTACCGATGTGTCATATGAGCCCTCTTTGCTGCTGTCATCTGGAATGTCCCGCCTCCAGCTGTGGTCTCTTGATTTCCTGATCAGTTACGCGGATGTCCGGGTGGAAAGGAGGCAGGAGCTGGCTTTGGAAGACCCGCCATCCGAGGCCGCCCACCCTGCAGTGCTAAAGGTATGCTGATCCCGCCAGATGGATACAGGCAAAGTGGCTATGCAGAACCTTCCATGAGATGTTATAATAAAAACAGCAGATCGTATTTATCGAGCTCCTGCTCTGTTCCGAGGACTATTCCATGTGGTTCTCAGGTATTTGCACATTCTCGGGACATTCTGTGAGGCGGGCACTGTTAGCGTCCTTGTCCATCTTTCAGAGGAGGCCCAGAGGACACAGAGAACGTAGCTAACATACAAGGGCCCGGAGGGTGAGAACTCGCAGAAACCACCTTTGGACTCAAAGCATGGTTGGCAACTTTCTGACCTCACGGGAATGGCGACAATAAGTCCGCTTTGTATCTCCCCCACAGATAAAAGGCTCGGGGTATTCCATCGTCCCACTGAGGCGTGGAGTAATTCTGGGGCCCCTGTCTTCCCTCAGCCTACGTGCTGGTGTTCTGCCTCCAGGACGCGGGCATCTCCCGAGTAGAGTGCCCCTCGCACGCCCTCCGTGTCACACACCCTCCACGGTGCACTTTCCATTTCTGTGTCTGGAGTCTTAGTGAACAGCCATGTTGGAGCTGGCTGCGCGTCAGGGAGCTCCCCTGCTGAGAGATCTTCCGCTTCACAAAGCCCGCACCCCTTCCCTCCCCAGCCTGAGCTCTCGGGGCCCCTCTGGCCAGGCTTCCCCTGCCTCTGCTCCTGGTGTGTCAGACACCGAGAGGGAAATGTGCAAGTAGACCAGAGCCCTGTTCCTCAAAGGTCATTCTTCAAGCAGACGCGCCTGTTGGGAGAGAAAGCAAGACAGGGAGGCAGTGTTGTATTTCATCAAAGCTAACCCACCATTATTTTATCCCCCACTAAGAAAGAGAAAATGCTGCCAGGCAATCTGTGAAATAAGGAGTTCTTTTCACCAGTTGAAGGACACATCCCAATTTCCTGCCCAAAATGAGGGCAGGAAAGTGCCTCCTAGAACTGATGAAAGACAATTCAAGTTCCAGGCTGCCCAGTGTCCTAGAATCCAGAGTCTTTGGCCAGAGGCTGACACAGCAGCAATGGTCCAACAAAAGCATCTCTGGTCCATTGAGGACTGAGTTGGGAGGAAGAAGAAATTACCTTTAAAGATGAGAGAGCAGTCAGTGTCTTTGCCGAGCCTCCCCTGCTGGTGTGCTGCGTGGTGACAGGTGTGTCATCACCAGCATACTGATACGTCACACTGGTCATTGTTTATGGAGGTGTTTATTAGCCAGCACTGTCACATAACACACCGTGCATCATGTCCGAGACGAAGTTAAGCTGTTAATAAGCAGGTGTTAGACACACCATACATCATGGCTGAAAAACACATGTCTTGTGTGTATCGTCCAGTCGGAAGGTCATTATTAAGGCTTTTGATCCTTTGGGAATCCTGGTTCCCAGTGGAACTTCTCATAAACATGCACATATGTATAAACACACAGATACAATCTCAGGCTGCCAGGTTGAGAAGCCCTTTTTAAAGTAAGAGCTCCAGGACAACGCTTTTCAAACTATCATTGTAATAGACCATTTAGTTTTTTAATTTCCAATCTGTTGCTGACTGATGCTTTTGTAAAAGGCAGATTCCCACACTTGGATGTGATGTGTGGCTATGTTGATGGCTGTAAAAGCTTCTCAGTGCTTACTCTCACTTCCTGTACTTATTTCTCTGCTGACCAGGAGCACACAATTTGCAAGTGGCCGTGGGCTGGGGATTCCACTCTAAGGGGTACGATCTTGGGGAGATTGTGACTAAGTAGCAGAGTCCCAAAAGTGACATTTAGCACAGCAAATGCAGGCACATCTCATGATTCTGTTTGCACAAAGGCCTGTAGGTCACATATCACTCATTTCAGCCCTACTTGGGCACATACACAGTGTCCACCCTCACTGGAGTGTGACTCAAAAAGACAGAAGAGCCACATAGACTCACACCCAGGGGTTTAAGACCAGACCATGGGACATAAAACAGCCTGTCCAAGCAGCCCAGTGGATGCCAGGAATTTCACCATCCTCCTAAGACTAGGTGGGAGCAACAGTAATCGTTATGTTTCTTCTTTAGCTTAAAAATGATCATTTTTAATGCGCTTCCTACAGTTATGACACCTGAGCCAAGCAGGATGGAAAGATAGCTCCTCGAGGTCGGAAAGTCACAGTTGTTTGTTGCTGTCTCATCACACTTACCTGAAGCAGAGGCATCCTGGGAGCCAGGACCAGTTAGGAGACCATTGGCCCTTTGCCTGTTCTCACCCCGGGGCCCTGAGGCTGTAGAGGCAGAGCGGTGGGGAGACAGCGTGGGAAGTGCCCAGAAGGGTCCACAGGCATTTGTTTCATTGGCATGTTAACAATTCAGTACCACCAGCAATCTTATTTCTAGAACTGGCCTCTTCCCCTCTTCTGGGAAAGTCAAGATTCTGGGCAGTGAGGTGACAATTTTAAGGAAAAAATAAAATGCAAAGTCAGTTATGAAAATCTAAAAAATCAAAATACAAGGTGAGAAAGTGTAACAAATACTGCATATAAGCTACAAGCCTCAAAGATGTCTCGATTACACATATGCATAAATAGTCCCCCTGGATTGTTTGATTACAGCATTTCTCTCAATACCCTCCACATTTTTCTACATATTTAGAGGCGAACTAAAGTCGTGTGATTCATTCCCATCATCTCGATGCTGAAATGTGGACCTTGTATGTGTGTTTCAGGACAAAGGCTCGAGCCTGGAGCCTCAGCAGCACTTTAATGCACTTGACATGGGCACCTCCGGCCTTAACGCCAGTCACTCGCCGTCAGCGTCCTCAAGAAGTTCACACAAATCCTCGCACACGGCCATGTCAGAACCCACCTGTGAGTGTGATTCCATGGATGGGGAGATAGGTGGGCACCCCATAGGACCAGGGTGGTGGGGGATATAGAGTCCCACAAAGGCCCAGGGTTGAATAGAATCAGCCATTGGTACCTACGAAGCAGAAGTTGCCATCCTGTTGACACTCTTCACTTCCTTTCCCACCGGCCTCCTGCCTTCCACCTCTCCACTCTCTGGTTCCTCCACTGCCACACGAAGCAGACATTAAGCAGGTGACACGCAGACCAGATAACTTGGCCAAGTTTTGGTAACTCTGGTAAAGCGTGTGATCAGGCAGGTGGTTGAACCAAGTGGTGGACATGAAGCTTGGGGATGGTTTGCTGTCGTCTGCCTGTTCCCCAGCAAAGTTGGAGGCTGGCAGAATTTTTGTGGCTCTTGAAACCACTTCCATTCATGCTGGACTTCCATTATCAGAGATTCCAACCAAGCCCTTGTTTCACGGACACCATGGTCATCGTTCCCCTCTTTTGATCAGAAAGCCCTTGAGTGTGTGTGAGTCAGAAATGTGACTTGTCATTTTCTTACAGCCACTCCCAGCAAGCTGATGGCAGAGGCCACCTCCACGGCTTTGCCAAGATCGGCCACCCTGCCCCAAGAGCTCCCCGTGCCGGGGCTCAGCCAGGCAGCCACGATGCCGGTACGTGTGTGACCCCAAACTCCCAAATCAGGGTATGCTACAGCGTGGCAGGGGCCTGCAAGGCCATAGGACACGATGCTGCGTCTCCCCGGAGGACCAATTTTACTTAGATTAAGCTTGTGGGGCAGCAAGGCACGGGTGAGAGGCTATGTGATTTAATTGGCAACTAATTTGAAACTTTTTTATTCCAAAATTAACATGGATGTATATCCATAGAATGCAAAATCCAAATGAGTTTTAAAGGTAAAGCTCAAAACTTCAAACCTGGGATCACTGCCCCAGAGCCTCTTGGGGTGCATGACTAGGATCCTTCCATTTGGGATCCTATTTCACTCCAGTGAAAATATCTGAGAAGCTTGGTTTCCCTGATAGGTGCCAGACCTCTCCAGAATGTCAAGGACGAGTGGCCTCCTAGAAAGAGGCCAGCTTTGTGCAGAATCACTGATGTACGGTACTCCGTTCTCTGTTGCCTTGTAACAGACCACACCCAACTTAGCGGCATAAAGCAACAATCATTCTTCATGTTCACGGATTCTGGGACAGGAATTCAGAAAGGGCACAGTGGGGACAACTCCTCTCTGCTGCCTGGTTTCAGGGGCCTCTCCAGCCAGAGCTGAGAGATCCATGTGCCAGGTGTGTCTGCGCTCACATAGCCAGCACCCAGGCTGGGCCTGCTGAAGGCTGGGCCCCACTGAGACCATCCACCAGTGACTTGCATGGGCCTCTCCATGCCTCAGGCTTCTCCTGGCAAGGCGACTGGGTTCTGAGAGGAAACGTCTGGAGAGGGAGCCTTCCATGAGAGCCAGGCAGAAGCTGCGTGGCTTTCTATGAGCTAGCCTTGGAAGTCCCACAACATCACCTCTGCCATACCTCTTGGACAAAGCAGTCACAAGCTCACCCACAGAGAGGACATAGACCTCCACCTCTGGATGGGAGAAGTGTCTGAGAACTTTAGGGGCCACATCAGATGGTCTCCAGATACCTCATGTGACCCCTCGCTGACATTTTGGAGATGGGAGTGAATGTGCCACCTTCCTGCTTGCTGTCACCGTGAAAGTTATGCACACTCTGCTTGAAAAATTTGGTGACATTTTATTTTCAAATAGAACATGACAAAGACTGCTTTCTTTCTCTCCGGCCGCCTTCAGACAGCCTCGGAAGCTATGACCGCCCCGCCGTTCTCCCAATGCTTGGCTGTCAGTATAACTTGCAGTTCTGTTTCCTCCCAGCCATGCAGGGGAACACAATTGGGAGGATCAAAACCAGTCTCTGGCTCAGCCCTGTGCCCAGGATTTCTCACTAAAAGCAAGGTCTGCTGTTGTCATTTCCTCCCAACGTTGTCCTGGGTCACACTTCCCATTTTGGCTGCTTTTTATAGTCCCTAGGGACTGGGGGCCGAGTTTGGAATAACTTCAGAAGAATCCTCTTAGTTTTCTTTTAAAAACTCTAGGGGGCCGGCTCCATGGCCGAGTCGTTAAGTTCACGCGCTCTGCTGCAGCGGCCCAGGGTTCCGATCCTCGGCGCGGACATGGCACCGCTCGTCAGGCCACGTTGAGGCAGCATCCCACATCCCACAGCTAGAAGGCCCTGCAACTAAGATATACAACTGTGTACGGGGCAGGGGGGAGGTTGGGGAGATAAAGCAGAAAAAAAAAAAGATTGGCAACAGTTGTTAGCCCAGGTGCCAATCTAAAAAAAAAAAAAAAAAACACTCTAAAAAGCCAATGAAGCTGAGGGTTTCATTTCTTGTCTCTACACATTGTCTCCCCCCGACCCACTGCCCACCCAAGGGATCAGGAAACAAGGTCAGTGACTCAGCTGACTTCCCAGGGATCTCACAGATTCCAGGCAGAGTCTGGCGAAATGGCACTCGTGTTCACTGCCTAGATGAGTTGATGGATAGAGACTTGCATGGCGTGTCTGTCCATCTGTGTAAGGGTTGAGCAGAAAGCATAAGGACCACATGCAGAGCCAACACTGGTCATTGGTACAGCTCCATTCATAGTGCCTGATGACACTGCTGAGAATTTATCACCAAATCCACCAAGATCGGAGTCTAGAGCAGGAGGCAAGGGAAGAGGAGTGGAGCAGAGCTGCCAAGCTCCAGCTTTGCCACTGTGGCAGGGAGGCATCACGGCCCCTGAGTGATGCTTAGGACCTTGCTCAAGGACACCCTGCACCAGCCATGTGTCAGCTCTGACTCTATGCCCTGCAAGGGCAGCAGCGCAGCCTGCTACCCCACCTTATCCGGGGGAACATATACCGTCTAGAAGTCAGGCCTTCACTCTGGTGCAGAAGGGCCTCCTTTAAGCCAGAGAACCCTGCCGACTGAGAGACAGCGCCCCTGTCCCTCTGTAACATCCCAGAAGCTGTGTGTATTAACAAAGCCCCTCTCTCTTCCCCAGACTCCCCTGCCTGCCCCATCGTCCTGTGACCTCGCACAGCAGCTCCTGCCTCAGACCATTTTGCAGACCCCCCCGGCCCCCATGGCACAGGTGAGTCTGGGACTCGGGGAAAGCGAAGCCTGGCAGAGGCATTTCCCCAAGACAGAACGCATGGTGTCCTTGTGAGTGTGCGGGTAAAGTTGGAGCCGATGTGTACCAGGCACTTAGGTACCAAACCAGGCCCCAGAATGGGGGATGACTCTCCCAGCATGCGGGTGGGGCATGTCGAGCTACGCACTTGCCCCTACACCTGCCCTCTCCTTCCAGTCTCGTCTTCTCCAGACACATTCTCCCAGTTCTTTTCTCCAGTGTCTTGTTCCTCAATGCTTTTCACAAGCTTTGTTCATCTCTCTGCCACTTTTCCGTGTTCCTCTCATTTTTTATGGCTCCAAGTTGACCATGATATTTTAGAAAGGGTCTGAATTAGGCCAGATGTCATAGGAAGACTGCAAGGATCTAAAAGCTGCGAGTCCAGTACTGTAAATATCACATTTAAAAAAAATGATCAGAGCTTTGCTGATTAATTCCTTCCTTGTTTCAACAACAGTGAGTTACTATTTGGGTCAATCCGTGAGCAAGTATGAGGGATGCAAAGATGCTTGTAACATAGCTCTTGCTCATAGCTCAGAGCTCAAGGGGAGACGGGTATGTAAACAGAGAAACCCCCATGTCAGGCCAAATGTTTTTATAGAACCAGTAAGAAATACTCTGTTTAGGGAAGTCCAACATGGCTTCCTGGAGGAGGTGACACCTGAGCTGGGCCTGGAAGGATGAATAGGAGGTTGCCAGATGGAGAGGTGGAGGGTCGGCAGGGAAGAGGTACCCAGGTGTGAGCTGACCCAGGTGGTGAGTTCTGGAAATGTCTGACATGCTTGAGACCTGGCAAGACGCTGAATGAAACCTCGGCCATTCAGTCTGCCGTTGCGTAGGGCAGTTGAGCTGACTGGCACACACTCTGCTGAGGCCAGAGCTCTGACCTCCATTCCTTTATGCAATATTTGCTTTGCCCCACTCTCTGGCCGTAAGGAGGTCCCAGGCAGCAGTTCACCAACATGTGCCACTGGCCCCACTCTTCCCAAAATGTGGACTTCTTCTGTCTTGGTGCCAATCTGTCACCACTGATGAAAACTCTTTCAGAACATATGTCCCATTAGCAGTGGTCTCGAATGTTCTCCTGGAGTAGGAAAGACACAATGTGAGCACGTGCTTCTTAATGGGGTCAGGCTTGAGTGAGGATGACTCCACTCATCTGGAGTCAACTAATTAAAATAGTCTATATTCATCCTCATTAGCCAAAAAAAAAAGGAATAACTTTTTTCTCTTCAAATTTTCAAGGCACGTTTGTATGAAATTAGCAAATTTTTCAAACCAAAGACACAGGAAATGAGAATTCCTTTAACTTCTGGGTCTTGCATAGTAAAGAATTTCTAAGTTCTATAATACATAATGTGATTAAGCCCCTTTGGGAATTCTAATTTTTCATTCATTGAACCTCATTTTAATTAATAGCAAGAGTTCTTAATGTCTGAGGCATATTATACTTAATTATAACTGTAGTCTGTAAGACTCTCTTGCATAATGCTGGCCTTTCTTACCTGCCCCATGTGACACAATGAGGCCCTACAAGGGTCTCTCTTTCCCCTCGCTGAGCTGATCAGTGTAGCACCTCGTCAGGGAAAGGGGGAAAAAAGAAAACCCAGAATCTGGGAAATGCTTCTCTGGGTAACTGGTGGTTTTCCTTTATACTGTGTTTCTAAAATTCTCTTAAGTTAGAGGAGATCTCTTTATCCTAAAGGTCACAATCAACAATATAACAGCAGACTAATGCTGTGTGTCCTGCAATGCCTGGAGAAAATGAGAATGATAATAGAAGTAACTAACACTTGGGAAGAGCCTTGCTGGCCACCCGGCGGCCGGCCCTTCCCTGTTCACCTTGGAGCCGCCGGACAACCCAGTGTCGTCTCCTGGATGCAGGAGGCAGAGTCCTGAAGGTTTCCTGACTTTGCAGAACCCACCACTGAAGCTTTTATGTTTTGTTTTTTAAATTTAATACCTGATATGCTTGTTTTTCTTTCTCAATCGAATTCCCTGTCAGAATCCCAGCTGAGTGCTTTGACAAGTTACATTCTGATTGAGATTTCTCTGGGCAGCACCTTCCATTATTAGTCTTACTGGTTCTTCCCATTATTGTTTTGCTGCTCCCAGAACTGCCGTCAGTTATTCTGCCCTCTGGTGTATCCCACCTGTATTCTAAACTCTCGTGGTCCCCTTGCTTTTCCATCTGTGGGGGGTTAAAGGGTGGAGAAGAGAGGCAGACTCTGGAGTAGTTTGCAAAAGGCAGTGCGCAAGAAACGACTAAGGAGACTGTTGGGGTAGAGAGCAAAGGAATGAAGGTTAAGTCATCATAAAAAAGAAAAGGAAGGGAAGGAGGGGGGAGGAAGGAAGAGAAGCCCCAGTGCAGCAGACTCACTTTCCTCAAAAAATGGGAGTCCTCGGGAGCCCCATAGAGCCCAGGGCGGGCCAGCCCCACTCCGGTCTCATGATCCCCCACTCTTCACGTGTTCCTGCAAGGAGAGGACCTTGTGTCGAGGTAGACAGGTGACACAGGGCAGAGGTCACCTGCAAGATCTTCCTCAATTCTGCCCAGGAAGGGATTAAGAGATGGAAGGAAGGGGAGACACGGCGCTCTTGCACAAAACAATTATCATCAGTGTCCCTCTTACAAGGTAACGCTCTGCCAGGGTTACCATCATGGGAAATGTTAGGTGATTATATCGTTCTTCTCCTTAGTTGTTTCTTTGAATGGATTTCCAAGAAGCCCGTAGGGACAAGTGAGCCAGGGGAAGCGAGGGAGGGTGGTGAGGCCTCCATGCCCCAGACCACAGGTTGGGAGAGCAGGGCTCCTGTGCAACGTGCCATCAAATTCAAGCTTTTGTGAGCCGTTACAGAAGGGCCTTGCTTGCCAGGTCTGGATTTAGGAGACAGACAGGACCCAAAAATGCCTGTGGAGCTGTCACATGCCAACGCTCATGCCCTAGATGAGAAAAAAGGGGGAGGGGCTCTCTGACACCTTGCTTTTGACATTCATCTCCAAAACCACTTGTCCTCTGTCCGAATTTGGAATCTCAGTTTGTAAGTACTGCTTACAAACTCATGTCTCCATTCTGTGGCCTCCCAGACTACAGTGCAGTACATTAGACCTGCAGACTCCCGTGGGCCTGAGGAGAGCTCACATGGGGACCCTGGGACGCCCAGCCCTCATCCACAGCCCCTGCTCACCGCCGAGCTCCCCAGCGGTGGGTCACTCATTAGGGATGCTGACAAAGGTGGATAAGGGACGGGAAATGAAAGCGGGCAGGGCCGCTCAGAAGAGCAGCAACATCTGTCTGCAAGGCTGAAATAACTCTTTCATCTGGTTATGTTTTTTGTCTCCACCTTGAAGTTCTCGGCACAGTTCAGCATGTTCCAGACCATCAAAGACCAGCTGGAGCAGCGCACACGGATCCTGCAGGCCAACATCCGGTGGCAGCAGGAGGAGCTCCACAAGATCCAGGAGCAGCTGTGCCTGGTCCAGGACTCCAACGTCCAGGTGAGGCCCCTCCCTGGGCCCGTGGGCCCGTGGTGCTGTCCTGCCCGCCGCTCTGTGAGGTGCCCTTATCCACCCTTCGGGGCAGGCAGGACCCCCTCCAGAGTCCCTCTGCGCTGCCTGAATGGGCCCTGCTTGCTAAGCCTGTGGAAACTTCCGCAGACCAAGAACAAGACGAATCCCGCCTCCTTCACCCCAACTCCAGGCCAAACGTGAAATGCCCAGGACATCATCTCCACTCACCCCTCACTCTGTTAGGCTGCATCATCCGCATCTTCATTTGTGGGTTTAGTGCTCTACCCCCTGCCTGCTGCTGGCCTCCATCCTTTGAAGTGATAAACACCCCCCGCACCTCTGTAACTTTGCTCTCGCAGCCCCCAGCCCAGGCTGCTGACAGAGGAGAGTGGAAGCAGCTCTGCTCTGTGTGTCCTCTCACCCAAAACAGGAGTGGAGGGAGACGCTGGAAACGATGCTCTCTGCACCCTGCCCCCAGGGCGACAGCAGAGGGAGCTGGGGCCTAGAGGTCAGCACCCTTCATGCCAGTTGGGGTGCCTGGCAGGCTCTGACAGGAGCAGCTTTGAACTATGACCCCCAGATGTCACTTCTTTGAATCCTTTTGAGAGATTCTTTTGGTAGGAAAAAGTTTATATATTTGATCTCTTTCCAGAACAAGTTATTTTTACCAAGTTTTTACCACTTGCATCATGAGTCTAGGACTATTTTTCTTCCAAAGTGCATTCTTTTGACCCAGCCTTTAATTGTAAATGTCATTCTGGCTGCCCTCGCAGTCTGCCCTGAGAGCTCTAAGCCTTTGCACCCCCTTAAGAGAGACAGAAGGAAGCAGAAGAGCCCCCTGGGGAAAATGGCTGGCATGCTGTCCCTGCGCCTTCCCCCTCCCTGTCCTCACGGACCCTGCACTGGACCCCCAGCTCCTGAAGCGCAGTGACACGGCCGAGGGGCAGGCCCCTTGCGGGCGCCGTGCTCCGTGCGCTGAGATGAACGCATGATGGTGCTGAGCGGTCGTGCCACGGGAGGTGCTGCGGACGCCCCTCCTGCCTCCCTGGGCTCCCCAGAGGCGCTCCTGGGGGCTTGCCAGACGCTCAGTGGCCCTGCACGGCCCTCTCGGGCCAGGGCTGGCTGGCTCCTGACTTAGAGAGGCCGGGGCCCAGCGAGGACACACTGCCGCCCGCTGCCCCAGGCCTGCGTGCGCGTGTCCAGGCCCAGGCGGCGCGACGCCCCGAAATGGACCAGGTAGGAGGCTGCAGCAGCGTTTACATGAAAAGAAACGGAGTCATCGCGGTGTCGAAGCCGCTTTTTACTTATTCATTCCCAGCTGGAAAATGTCCCCACTGATGCAGGGCGCGACTGGTAGAACTTGCCTGACTCCAATTACTTGAATGGAATTTTTATACTAACAGGAAGGGGGAAATTGAGCCAGAAACTGCTGAACGCAAGATAGGCGTAGGAGCCTCTTCCTCAGGGCCCGGACTTCTCTATTTCCTGTCTTTTCAACGTTAAGGCTGAATTCTCAAGTAACGGGCCACGCGAGGTTCTCTCCTCCACTCCTTATTATGAAGCATCCTGATTTGTCCTCCTCGTGACCAGTGCATTTGGTGACGGCCTCCCCCCCCCCCCCCCGCCAAGCACGCGTGCCCGAGAGCACCCGAGTGCTGGGAGGCTGACTGGGAAACAGCCCTCAGACCGTCCAGCGTGCTCCTTCCCTGTTGTCATTGCTGTGACCTTATCTTTGCAGTGGAATTTTCCAAAGAACATGGAAATCCACAGATAGTCAAACCAGAGAACATTTCCTCAAGCCGTCTGCCTCCCTGTACTTTTGCAATTTTAAAGATTTAAAGAAATATGTTCCAAAATGTGATATTTGTTTTAAAAACTACATGATTCAAGCATAAAAAATAAGCAAGTAAAAATTACTCCACTCTTCCAAAAAGGAGGGGGGGTAGATTAAAAAGAATGGCAAAACGTTGATAATTGTTGAAGCCTTATAATGCTATATGGGGTTTCATTAGACAATGCTTTGTGTATTTCTAAAATACTCTGTAATAAGAAGTATTTGTAAAAGTAAGCAGATAAGAATAAGGAAAAACCACATGTGAGGGTAGGATTGGTTTGTTCTTGAAAATTAGAACTGTTTTTTCCCTCTGATAACTTTTTCCACTTGAATTAAGGAATGATTTTTCTCATGCTTTCTATAAAATTGACCCCGAGCCCTTTTTAGAAGTCATCTTCTTAAGCCGTAAAATTCCACTTTATTGTCGATAAATCAGACATGGATGTGCACGACGGCAAAACCAGGGTTTCCTCCGACAAAGTCCTTGATCCGAACTTCAGTGAACTTTCCTACTTTACTTCATTGGCTTAGAGCTTGCATTGAGTCTCTGTGTGCCTGTGATGCTTGCTAAATAAGATTTTTAAAATATTTTTTAAAAATCGAGTTATGAGCAAGAGGTTGGCTAGGGTGTTGGTGTTTGCACCTAAGTGGAGTCATGAAGGCGCTACTGGTAGAGCTGCTCTGCAAGAGGCTCTGTCGCTCTCTGTGGTCCAGGGAAGGCTGCCTCTTGCTTTCTTTTTGAGGGCATGCGCGCCCTCTGCTGGCTACTCAAAGAAATTCCTAGAAGGACACCTGTAGCAATGGTAAATGTCTTCCTTCCTTCCTTCCCTTCCTTTCCTTCCTTCCTTCCCTCCCTCCCTCCTTTCTCCCATCCATACACCCACCCACCCATTCATCCATCCATCCTCCCATCCATCTATCTGGCAGACCCCGTTACGTACAGGCATTTGGTTAGGCTCTGTGGGGGTGCGGAGATAAACAGGACAGCATTCTACCCTGAGAGAGCGTACGTCAGTGGGACAGAATAGCAGACCAAGCAGACTCTGACATAACACAAGCAGAAACAGTTTGCCCTTCTTTGAGCAAAAACCTCATTTATTTGTTTATTCATCATTTATTTATTCCATTTATTCATTTCTCAGCGAGTTTTTATATGCCCAAAGAGGCAAAGGAACAAAAAGCTCCTTTTTCTCATTTTAAGTGTTATTGTTATTATCTAACATTTATTGAGCATTTACTATATCTCAGCATAAATCTCATTTACTCCTTTATGAGGCATGTGCTGTGAATGTCCCTGTTTCATCAATGAGGTAACTAAGGCTTTGAAAAGTTATCAAAATGGCCCAAGGACATACCACTAGTCTATGGTGGGGTTGGAATTTGAACTAAGGAATGTCTGATTGGAGCTAGATTATGCTGCCTGTCATAAATAAAGGTTGCAGTTATTTGAACTCTAATCAGAAGGTAAATTGTATCCTACTAGAAGTATGTTTTTTAGTCTGAGTATTGAGTTTTTGCCGAAGTGGTGAAGTGTAGGTTACCATACGTGCTGCAAACAAGCCGTGTGATAACCGGGAGCTGGGACTGCGTGAAGTACGAATCCTCAGACTGAATCTGTGCTGAACGGGCACTGAGCCTGGGATGATGGATACCCAGGAAATTCTTCGTAACTTCTCAAGCGACCAAGAGCCCTCATGCAAAAGTGCAGGCTTCTCTGGAAGGCGTGGGGGCGTGCCTGGAAAGTAGGGAGACGGAGTGGTGTGGTGGGAAGGGCACTAGATGGGGACCCGCCAACCTCAGGGCTCCGGGACATGGCTCCACTCCCCTACGAGCCAGATGCTCCAGCTAACTGACCCTGGATCGCTCCACCAGGTGTCTGCCTGGCCTGGCTCCACATCACCTTCCAGAACCACCCTGCCACTCGGCAGATCAGAATGGCGGTTCTGCACTGGGGCATGAGGTGCTGCTGCACTGAGTACAGGAACTGGGTTAGAACTCCGGGTGCCGGAAGAAGAAAGCCGTCCTCATGAAGAACCCTAAAATGGCGTGGAACCCGGCTCGTCGAGAATCTGAGAGGGACAATGTCAGTGCTGAATGCCCAGGAGGAGCTCTAACTGTTGGAAGAGCCCCTTACAGGTCTTAGGTGTAAATTATTATTAAAATTATTAAAGTTGTTTTTCTTAAGTCTTTAGGGTCAATTTACAGATTACATTTTATTTACAGATCTGTTAATTTGGTCTAAAAATAGCAGTGTTTTTACTAGTTTTTATTTATATTCAATTAGTTTATAAATTTAACAAATTGTAAATAATCAACATTATCTATGAATGCCATTAATTTACAAATTTAATATATCTAAATCTTTCAAACATTTCAATGCCTAACAAGGCAGACTTATAAATCTAAGCAGTAAAATCTTTCTAAGCACTTAAGCAATTATTTTAAGTCAAATATACTAAACTTATAAATGATCAAGGTTTCATAAACACTTATACACTCTTTACAAACTTGATCAAATTCTCTTAAACCTTTCAAATTAAGATTACCAGGCTAATTTTTCACAGTCTTTTAAATGTTTGAGACATCTTAGATGATGAAATGCACAGAGATTATCGTGAAGATAAAACTTATCCTTGCGCAGAATTCTAAAGGCGCGGACTTGATGTTCTGTCGTCATCTCTGCACGCATTTGCCTTCCTGGGAACGCAGGGTCGCCTAATTAGTGGGAGCAGATTCGCCATCTTAGCTGGGAGCACTGGGTTGAAGATGCCCAGCCGCAGTATGAGTACAGACCCTGGTCACTGGTCAGAGCTTCAAGGGCAGGCACAGGGCCTGGTCCTACTGCCAGGACGATGCGGCCCACACCACCGGTTAGCCAACCCTCTGCCACCATTACTGCATCATTCATTTTATTCACAGGATATCCCTCCCTTCTACTAAGGAACTGACAAGCCCACCTAGACTCTTTACAAGCACACCAAGTTATCTAGAGACCACCTGGGTCCTCCACACTGTTAGGCCTCCATCACTAGACTGTCACCTTGAAGGCGGGGTCAGTGTCTCTCCGAACCCCTTGCTCTGTCGCTTTGCACTGCTTGTGGCATCGCAGCGCTCAGCTGGAATGAATGAACGAACTCCGCCCAAGCAGGTCAGAGAGAGCAAAAAAGCTGACCTCCTAACAGAGGACAGGGAACCCAAAGAAGGTGCAGACCTGGCGGGCACCCATGACCCCAGCCTTAAAGGCATTCCTCTTCTGCTTCCAGATGTTCTTGCAGCAGCCAGCTGTCTCCCTGAGCTTCAGCAGTGCCCAGCGCCCCGAGGCTCAGCAGCAGCTCCAGCAGAGGTCGGCCCCAGGGGCCCAGCCCCAGCTCGTGGCCAGCCCTCCGCTTCCAGGGCAGGTCGCCCCTGCCCAGGTCACAAACCAGCACCTGCTCAGAGACTCGAGTGTGAGATCAACCCAGGTAAACGTGCCCGTCTCCAGACCCAGCCCTTGCCACCAGGGCAGACCAGGACCTACTGGATTCCTGCCGTCTCTGCCAACTGGAAACCTACTGTGACCCACTCTATGTGACCTCCTCTGTGACCAGGGCTAGATGATGGTGGTGGGATTTTTCCTTTTTTTGTTTGTTTTAAGTCACTTCGAAACCCCAAGTTGCCTTGGTTTCCTTCTGTGTTTTATTAATATATTAAAATACCTTGAAGGGAACTCTCAGCTTTGATCCTGAACTGAGGTGGAGGTGGATACGGACATGCCAGCCACTCACATTGACGGCCCTATGTCCCCACACGTGTGTCTTCAGTCCCCATCACCCACTCCTGGTTTTAGCCATTATCAGTGTGAGAATACAGATCACCCACTTCTGCTCACTGTCCCCTCCCCCAGGGCCACCCTGCTCCTCCGGCCCCCCAGATTCCCTTCCCTCGCAGCCATTACTACTTACTACAAGCCACCTGTGAGCCTACAGTCTGACAGGGTCACCAGTCAGTACACGGCACTTGAATCGAAAGGCGTTAAGAAGTGCTGAGCCCGGCTTCTGGAAGATCAGAGATTGGAAGGAGGGGTACAGGCTCGCCTCAAGCTTCTTATGTTCACACGCGTAATCGTGGCTTCAGTGACCATCTGCTGGGCTCTGTTGTTCACCAGCCCCCAGGGGAGCAAAGAGGAAGGCGAGCTGTCCTTGACCCTGAGGGGCGTCTGGTCTAGCGGGGGCTCCAGGAGCGTAAACAAATACTGTGCAGTTAAATGTGGAGGAGTACATGCGTGAGTCTCTCTTCACCCATGTGTAAGGGTTTTACTTTAAATTTTGGTTTTAAAAGTCAACAGAAAAATTAACGGGTGAGAATGGCCAAGGAAATTTTGGAAAAGAACAAAACTGAAGGAGGATTTACACTATGTAACAGTAAAAGCTTTTGTAAGAGCTCTGAGAATTAAAACACAGTGCTGCCATCATACAAATGGACAGTCACTGAAACAGTGGAAAACCCAAAGCCCAACCAAGCCCACTCCCTTGCTCATTTGTGATTTTACTCCACGAGTATTTAACGGGCACTCACTGCATGCCAGGACTAGATTCTAGCACCAGGGGATGGCAGTGAACAAAAGAGAAAGGAAGAACAGAACCTCTGATGCAGGTGGGGACAGACAAATGAGTGAAAATCACAATGTGACAAATCTCAGTGTGGGACACTGGTGAGGGAGGGGATGGGTTAGAGTTGTCAACAGGGGTCCAGAGAAGGCCTCGCTGACAAGACAGTACTGAGCAAAGACCTGAGGGGGTGAGAGAATGAGCCCTATCTATATCTGGGGAGGAGCACTGCAATTAGAGGGACTAGCAAGTGCAAAGGCCCTGAGGCAGGAGTAGGCCTGGTGAGTCAGAAAAACAGCAAGGAGGTCGACATGTCTGGAGTGGAATTTGTGAAGCAGAGGTAGTTCAGTTCGAGGCACATTTGTTACTTGCCTGCTGAGAGCCTGGCACTGTCCTAGGCCCAGGGCTTTCAAAGAATTCTTGAGGTGCTTACAGTCCAATGGGGAAGACAGTCACAAGACCAGAATAATTCAGTAAGTAGTCAGAGGATCCTCAGGTAGAGGAAAGGCCAAGGCAGGTAGAAGAAAGAGGTTCTGGGGAGGCTTCCTGGAGAGATGACACCTGAGTTGAGTCTAAATTTCACCTTTCTTGCTAAAATGATGCTCCAGGGCCCGAAGCCAATGAGAAGCTCGCCACTGATGCAAGGAAGCGGGCGCTCGGTGAGCCTGACGCCCCAGTTCAGCAGCGCCGCAGCTGTGCTCCCGACACCCCTGGGCCTGACCACCCCTGCCCCGGTCTCCAGGGACACCAGCCAGTGCCAGCCCAGCCCGGACTTCAGCCACGATCGGCAGCTCCGGTACGAGACCGTCCTTGTTTACACGATGACTGGGGCGGGTTTGCACGATTCCCGGCTGCCCTCCTTTCTGAGGTAGACAGAGGCAGCTTTCAGACAGTCAGGAGTAAAGCCTCGGCAGTTTCTCTCAGCGGATGAACCTGCAAGAGGGCCAGGGTCTTGACAGCCGGAGATAATGGCCTGCTGCACTCAGCATCTGAGAGCAGAGCAGGCACCGTGGGGTCGGCCAGAGGGGGGCCCTTGCTGCTACCCCTGGCCAGTGGGCCAACGGTTTGGGTGCTCATCAAAGCTTCCCGTTGATCTCTCCCTCTGCTCCAAGGCTGTTGCTGAGCCAGCCCATCCAGCCCATGATGCCTGGGTCCTGTGAAGCGAGGCAGCCCTCGGAGGTCAGCAGGACTGGACGGCAGGTCAAGTAGGTGGCCCCAGGCGGAGGGAGGGTGGCCTCAGGCTGGCAGGGTTTTCATCTGCCCGGACCGGCAGTGCTCCCTCCGAGTCTCACACTAAGGGCAGGGCCGAAGTGTGCCCACCCCTCTGAAAGGACTCCTCCCCTTAGCTTTTCTTCCATTTCCCGCTGAAGCAGACGGACCTTTGGGTCAGCGTTCCAGGCCTAGAACGCGACCTGAAACAATTAGTTCTCTCTCTAGCTTGTCTGAACGCCTCAGCCTAGGTTATAGCCCAGGTCCGTGCTGCCATGTCCCCATCCCAGGCACCCCCGAGGCTCCAGCTGACCGCGGAAGCAGGTGCCCACTGCAGATTCACAGGGCGCTTTGAGCTCGCCTGCTCCCTGGTCCCGGCGCTGTCCACGGGGCTGTGACCCCACAGCTGTGAGGCCCGCCCCCCTCCCCGACACCTCCTACCCTCTCCTTTCCCCAGTCTCTTCTCCACTTGCAGCCCCAGGACCAGAAGCAGCTTTGCTCAGCTGTTTAATGAACAGGGACAAAGGTTACTGGAGACAGAGAAGTAAAAACATGAAAAGCCATGGAAAACAGCTTGTAGCCCTTTGAAATGAGGCAGCAACAGAGCCATCTCGCAGACGTCTTTGTGTACAAACACTGGTTTCATTGGTGTCCGAAGTTCACTGAGACACTGCTAGCTAATTAGGCCTGGCTGCCCTGTACAGAGGTCTCCAGCCATCCCCTGGGACCGTCCCCTGGAAGTCCTTGCTCCCCTGTCCTCCTTCAGCCAATAACAACATAGCAGCGGATGCTTCCTGCGCATGTCTGCAGGTCCGGGGCCCGGACCTCCCTCACTGCATTTTGTCCCGATCAGAACCCCATGGCAGGCACGTGGGGAATGTGTGCTGAGGGAAACCTCCTCTAAATTCGCGGCCCATGCTCTCAGCTAGGCCGGGGGTTGGGTCTGGGTTTTGGATTTTGCCTGTTCTTTCCTTCTCCTGTGATCCAAATAAGTGGAAACAAAAAATCTTGTTACATCGCTTTCTGGACAGCTTAAAATGCAGTGAACTAGGCAAAAACAGAAATTCTTTCCTCTGGGAACTCTAACTGCCACTTTGGGTCAACCCAATAATTTATATTCTCCCCATTTCCCCTACCGTCTCTACCAGACATGACCTCACACTCCATCTTCTAGGGTGTGTCAGAATCTGCCTCCCACACACACGGAGGCCTCTTCAGGGGAAGTTTGGAACCCCTAATGCCTGTTACAAATGACCCCATATAGAGAAATAACATTTCTAAAATATAATGCAAAGTGCACTTCTCATTAGTGTCTTTAAACATCTGTTCCTAGTCTACACTCCTCCAGAGCTTTCTTAAATGGCCCTCCTCTGCCCCTTGGTAATGGCCCATTACCATCAACACCTCTTTCTTTTTTTTTTTTTTTCTTATTGTGGTAGAATATATTATATAAAATTGGCATTTTTAACTAGTTTTAAGTGTACAGTTCAGTGGCATTAAGTACATTCACATTGTTTTGCAACCATTACCACCATCCACTTCCACAACTTCTTCATCTTCCCAAACAGACGCTCTGTACCCATTAAACACTAACTCCTCATCCCCTCCACTCCCAGCCCCTGGCAACCACCATTCGACTTTCTGTCTCTCTGAATTGGACTACTCTAGATACCTCATCTAAGTGGAATCATACAATACGTGTCCTTTGTGACTGGCTTATTTCACTCAACATACTGCCCTCAGTGTTCATCCATGTTGTAGTGTGTGTCAGAATTTCCTTCCTTTTTAAGGCTGAATAATATTCCATTGTGTGTATAGACCACATCTTGTTTATCCCTTCATCCATCAGTAGACACTTGGGTTGTTGGCTGTTGTGAATAATGCTGCTCTGAACATGTTTGAGTCCCTGCTTTCACTTCTTTTGAGTGAATACCCAGAAGTGGAATTGCTGGATCCTATGGTAATTCTATGGTTAATTTTTTGAGGACTCACCATGCTGTTTTCCACAGCAGCTACATTTTACATTCCCAGTAACAGTGCGTGAGGGTTCCACCTTCTCCACATCCTCACCAACACTTGCTATTTTCTGGGTTTTTTCATAAGAGCTATTGTAATGGCTGTGAAATGGTATCTCATTTTGATTTTGACTTGCATTTCCCTAACGACTAGTGATGTTGAGCATCTTTTCATGTGCTTCTTGGCTATTTGTATCCTTTTGTCTACTCAAGCCCTTTGCCCATTTCTTAACTGGGTTGTTTGTTGTTTTGTTGTTGTAGTTGAGCTGTAGGAATTCTTTTTAAATTCTGGATACCAATCCCTTACTAGATGTATGATTTGCAAACACTTCCCATGGGTTGCCTTTTCACTCTATGGAGTAATGCGCAAAAGTCTGTAACTTTGATGAAGTCCAATCTATCTCTTTTCCCCTTGGTTGCTGTGCTGTTGGTGTCATCCAACTCCTCTTTCTTAAAGGTGTGTTTCTCCCTCCCATGTGAAACCACCAGGTATGCACAGAGCCAGGCCGTGTTTCAAAGTCCAGACGGGCACACCACCAGCAGCAGCGCCTCAACTCCCGTCCTGCTGATGGGACCCGCAGTGCTTCACCCCAGCTTCCCCACCTCCCAGCCGCCGCCCCTGCAGCCCGCACAGGCCCAGCAGCAGCCGCCACAGCACTTCCTGCAGGTGGGCGCTGGGGAGACAGGGTGAGCCCCGTAGCCCAGGCCTGACCGCCCTTTCCTCCCTTGCTTCCAAGGTGGTCCTAGTCCTCAGCACCAAACTAAGCCCCAGACAGACTTGTAGGGATCTTTATAGTTTATAAAGTTCATAATGCTCCAAGTCCACGTTTATATAGTATGAGAAATTTAGAGTTAGCTGTTAGGCCTCATGTGGGTACGAGCTATAAAGGTCCACTTTCCAAAAGTAATTTTTATTATGGTATCCTTATTTTTAGAGCAAAAATCAGACACTGATTACTCTGTTTGTCAGACTTGTTAGTGTGTTTATACACAAAGTCTTATACAAATATAAAATTAAATCATGTTTAGTTAAGGACTCATTAAACTTCCTTAATGCATGCGATAATGTTTCATGAAATTAGAGCTTTCCAGGAAAATGTGGGGCACGTTTACATGTGGTCACTACTTACTTCAAGTAAGTGCCAAGTACCCTGGAAGGAGGGAGGGTGAGCGCCAGTGGTTGGGGTATTCAGAGGGGACAGAAGCGTCTGCTCAGCTCTGGCCTTCTCTCCCACACGAGCCCGGGCGCCCCTTCCTGCCCCGGCTCTGCCCTGTCCCGTGGGGACTCCTCCCTGGCCTCTAGCCCCCACCCAAGGCAGGCTTGGCTTTCCCTTCACCCGGCCTGCCCTGCTCGGGCACCTTGAAAGCCACAGAAGAGTGTGCGGTGACACAGACATTTTGAGGACAGCAGGATAGAGAAGAAAAGAGTCATCCTTGAAGGTCTAGAATGTAATTTAATTCCAAAGCTGCTAAGCCACCTGTGCTGTACTTTTCCAATCTCCCTGACCGCCGGCACAGGGGGAGTCAACTCAGGACGCTGGCTCTGCGTTTCTCGTCAGCTTGTTGAACACAGAAGTGGTTTAGGATGGGAACTGAGGAACTGAGAAGGCAGGGAGAGGCTGGGGAGAGTTGAGGCCTCCCATATACTTCTTCAGCGTAACAGCAGACGTGTTTGCAGGCACATGTTCCAGGTGACGCAGGGCGAAGGGTGCAGAGAGCTCGCAGGGCTTCTCACTGCCCTCACTGGACTCGTAGTGCAGTGTGGGGAGAGGGCAGATCACAGAGAGCCCTGTGGCGGGGAGGCCTCTGAGGAGGAGGGGGGAGGGGGACTCAGAGTCAGACGTGTGGGAACTGCCCAAAGCGTGAATGAGTGGAGGTGAAGGAACAGTGTTCCAGCAAAAGAGACAGCCTGAGCACGAGCGGAGGGCGGGCGTGCCTGGGCAGCTCTGCAAACCCGGGGGACTGGGTTACCTGGAGGGGGAGACTTCATGGACAGGAAGAGTGAGAGCTAGGATGGAAGGTTCCAGAGTTAGGGTTTGCCCACTTGAAGGTTCTGAGCTTCAAATTAGGATGTTTCCTAGTAGATGCTGGCAGCCGGCAGTGTTTGGAAGTAGTCCTGGAATCGGGGACCACAGTGAAAGTGTGCAGACTATCTGTGTCTGGATTCTGCCCTGTTGATTATCTGCACGTGGTCTCAGCTTCCAACATCCAACAACATACAGGCTACATGTAGGTCATGGGCATGTGTTCAGGAAACCACTCCCCACACCCTCGCCCCAGGCCCACCGGGCAGGAAGGAACCCTGGTGCTGGCAGAGAGCTTGGCTTCAATTCACACCCACCTGGCAGAGCCTCAGGTTCCTTTCCTCTCTACCCACCCTCCCCTCCCACACAAGGTCCTGCCCAAGCCCTCACCACAAGGCCCCGAGCCATCGAGGAGTCCTGTAGGCTGACCACATGTGCACACGCCCCAGCAATTCAGCAGAGGAGCTGAATCACAGAACCACCTCTGGAGCCCTTTCTCTTTTCTTTCCAGGTACAGGCGCCAAGCTCTTTGCACAGTGAGCAGCAGGACTCGCTGCTTCTCTCCACCTACTCGCAACAGCCAGGGCCCCTGGGCTATGCCCCGCAGCCCCAGCCCTCACGCCCTCCCCGAAGGGTCAGCAGCCTGTCCGAGTCCTCAGGCCTCCAGCAGCCACCCCGGTAGTGCCCTGGCACCTCAGTTGGGTCACAATCAGCTTTAACCAATGGATGACGGGGGGTTGGTCACGGGAGTTGGGGAGAGGAGTTTAAACTAAACCCTTGGCTTTTGTGCACACTGCATACATTTCAGAACTCCTGGATGGTAGCCATCTCTGGAGTGCGCGGCTGGCACGTGGGAAATGACAGCAAGACTGGTGGGCTTCCCCTGCCTCCGCACTTCTCGGGCGCACTCTACAGCCATACTTGGGCGGGAACCGAGTACCCACGACAGCGTCGTTACTCAGTTTACCTTAGCCAACAGAGCAGCTCACCGCATCCTCCCCAGGGCGCACAGGTCACTCTCACTGGCTGTGGCCCGTCCACCCTTGCTAGCCGGGCTTCACTCTCCTGATCCTCTTTCCTTTGCGTTTGAGAAGCACTGGGTCAGAGATCTGTTTGGAGAGAGAGAATAAAGAGATTATTTTTCATTATTTTTAAATGGTGGTTTTGTTTTAATTTGCACAGCTGCACAGAGGAGATTGCTTAGGCACTTTCAGTTTTTAAAAGTAATAAGGCCTCCTGACTTCGTTTGGAGACCACAGTAACAAAAACAGCCCACCAATAGATAGCCACGCCGGTCGTTATTAACCAGGCTGCAGACCCACACCCTCCAGCCTGAACCCTCGTGGAACCACGCTCGCCCCCCCCCACACGGCTGGTGATTATTTTTTCCCCTAAATGTAACACTGGACTATTTCCTGTTTACTTCGTCGATTGCAACTACAAAGGCGGACTCAGAGCAAAGCACAATCACACAGCTGATGTTCCGGAATTGTGCTGGCAACTCTAGGACTATGAAGGGTGAGTTCCACACGCCAGGCGGCCTGCGGAGCTCCAGGTCCCCAAGGGACCCACCACGTGCTGGCCTTTGAGGGAGAATGCTGCATCTTTCTACATATCTTTCACGATGAGACCGAGGATTGGATTCTCCTTTTCAAAATGCACTTTGCTTTTTTTGTATGTTTTGTTATGTTGAGATGTTTCTAAAGAAAAGATTTTATGTAATTATAAGACAAAGTGTAGTGAACTGTACAGCTGTTGTAATAATGACCTATTTCTATATAAAATAAAATTGTATGGATTATGTGTAAATTATTTTGTATCTGAGATACCAGTTCCTTTCCCAAATATAAAAGTATAAAAGTTTTCTTGTGTTTTTCTGTGAGTGGACATTTTGTAATAAATTAACAGATTTGTACAATTTCCTCTGGAGGCAGTTTCTGTCCCTTGTTATGTATGCATGCACACATCTTTTCATCAGTAAACATATATATTTTTTTAATTTCAAGACATTTCTAAGGACATTCAAAGATAGGGAACAGGTGGAAGCAAGCAGTGAATGAGCTGGGTAATGGCGTGAGGTGTTTGAGCCACATGTGTTTCAGCCTGTCAGGTCCCCGATCTTTATAGCAAAGGTTGTGCCAGAAAAAACAATGGTTTGTTGTAGAAATGACAGCAAAAACAAACAGAAAAAGTTCCTGGAAACATCTCAGGCTTATGGACGTCGGTCATCTGTGGAGATGACCACAGCATTTGGAGCCCGTACTTAGACTCACCTGGGCTAGAGTGCATGGGCACTAACTGCCAATCCTTAGAGATCAGTGATGCATGCAGGGTTTGTGTGTCTGTGTGTGAGACGCACACGTGTCATGTTGACAGGAGGACACAGCAGCAGCTTCTGGGAGGCTTCTGCCAGCTACAGACATACCCCCTTCCCAGGAGGCTTCATCACGTGAATGAGAGGGGGCCCGGGCACACTGTGATTGAGAATCAGAGAGGGTGGTGCTCAGCCCAGGCCTTTCCAAAAGCGTTGGCCCAAGAAAACTAAGTTCCTTTCCTCGCTCCATCATTCTAGCTCTGTGCTTTCACCTGCTCCTCTGTAGAATGAGAGCTCTTTTCACTTCCATGACTAGGATCAGTTTGGGATGGCATGAGAGGCTGCCATATAAATACATCGAAAAGTTTTATTATTCACACAATTGCTGTATTCCTAAAAAAAGGTAAGTAAATATTTTGCATGCACTAGGAACATTTACTCTTTAAACAAAGGCCACCAGAAAAGAACCCTCTTTTTAAAACAAAAAATCTGTGTAAAACTGGATTAACTATTTTGTAATTAAACTGTTTTGTAAATTTGAAGTTTTACAGATCTGAGTTTTCCGTAAAAGAATTTGTGTTTTAATTGGCTGTCAGAATTCTTGCTTCTAAGTAGAACAAGATTTTTCATGGAAACAGCATATTTTTTGTCCTAGAATTTTCTAGCTGGAAGCCATTAGATGAGGGTCGAGTATGCCAGGCTACTAATTTAATTTAGCATTGCTTCAATCCTACACATGTTCAAAATCTCCATAAACTGAGAAAACTCTTGTTGTATAATAGTTCCTTAAACCCACATATCATCAGGGGAAGTTTAATCCGTAAGCTTTTGATTCATTTAATTTTGCTCATTAAAAGGCTGTTTTGCAACCCTGTCCTATTTCCAGAAAAAACATGACCTTTCTACTTGGAAAACTATAAAGTCTCAGCTCATGAGAAGTGGCTGAAATGTGAACTCTGGAATACACCAAGTGTTATTTTAAACTAACCCAACTAAAATGTATCTTCTGTCTCTACTAGCAACTAAAGTTCAGTTAGTTAAAAATGTTTGTTTATACAGGCAACAGGGTGAACTGGTCAACTATCAGATCATTCTAAGCCATGACATTTTGCATTCTTGCCTAAATTATCTGGTAAAATTTGGGTGTTGGGTAAAAATTTCTTCAATTTCTCTCTTCACTTTATGTGAAGCCTAAAGGTATTAAAGTCAGCCATTAATAACCCAGAGAAATAACTAATTTGGACCCTCCAGAGAAATGCCATATGTGGCTTTTTGAACAGACACATTTGAACTCCACACTTTACATATGTGCCATACACACAGCAGCATACTTCTATAAGCATAAGGCAGCGGATTATTTGCTTTTTTCCCCCCTTTATTTTATGTGGGACACTGCCACGGCGTGGCTTGACTGAGCAATGCTAGATCCACTTCCAAGATCTGAACCTGCAAACCCCGAGCTGCCAAAGCAGAGCATGAACTTAACAACTGCGCCACCGGGCCTTCCCCAACGCAGCTGCTTAAATAGCCGAAATATATAGCCTTATAGTATCTGTGAAACAGCTTTATTTTCCTGGAGAAAAAAGCTCATTAGAAACAAAAAAAAAAGCAAATCTCCTTTAGGATCGTTGCCTAACCAGCCAACGTCCAATTACGGGGGGAAGCAGGGTAACCCTTCGGCACATTCCTTTCATTAATGCGTGCTTTAAAATGGAGCCTCAAATGTTGGGTGACCACTTTATATGCACTTAAAAGGTATTCAATTTAACTCAGTATGTGACTCAATTTCCTTTAAAATGTCTGCCCCTCCTAACATCTCCGTCTCTTTCATTGTAGCCATGACCCGCCCATCTACACACGCTGAAAATCTTTATCCTGTGCTGGAAAATCACGTCTAGCAGGGGACATTTTGTACACAGAAATATAGTCACCACTAACTGTAATTCATTTAATATCCAATTTATTAATCTTATAAATTTTTCAGTTAGCATACTTTTAACCATTAAGTGATCATTTCCCTTAGTAATCACATTACTACTTAAACAAGAGTCAATATTTAGGAATTTACAAAAATAAATTTCCCCAGTTATGAAAAAAGTAGATTACAACTAGAAACATTTGTAAGGATTTAATTAAAATCTCAAGTCTGATAAAGATCCCTTAAAAGTTCTAAGACATCTTAAAAGCAAAAACGACCCACAAAATATAGTATCTTTACATCAAAACTGGTTGGAAGGATGTGAATATCACGAGTTTAACGGTTTTGTATTTTAATCCATACTCATTCTTTCACCTTCTCAGTGTTCTGGTTCTTACATTCCATTCTAGGGTTTCAATAACTCACTAAATAAAAACCTTACACCTCCCTAGGTTTAAGGATCTTACCATATCCGCCCCCTCTCCAAAAAAGAACGTAATTTCTGATGAGCAGAGGCTGAAGGTCCAGGGTTGTCGACTTGAGGGTTTGGCCTGGGGACACGGAACTTGGTTACATAGTCTAAGTCAACTCACACATGAGCTGCGGGCATGAGAGTCCCCTCTTCTAGGTCAAAGTCCCACATCTTTCATCAGGCAGCCCAGAGAGGAGGGGATAGTTACCATTTCTTTTAGGGAAGTTGGGCTAATTTATCAGCTAGGACTGCACTTGTGGACACTCATTCATGGTCACAGCATGTGGGCACCAGGGCAAACGAGCTGCTGGACCCCTTCTTCCTTCCCTGTGCAGCCCCTGCTTCTCCCAGGAGTGTTTGGCTCCCTCACAAGTGTCATTTCACTCCTTCACTCCCTCAGATAGAAACTAGTCCATGTCTACACTTTATTAACAGACACAAGCTTGACAAAGAAACAAGATGCCCATATGTAGTAATACTTTCCCACTTATTAAAAACAATGACCATTAGGCATATCTACTATGTTGACTCCTTTTTCAATTACAGCAACCCTTTTTTATATTTCATTTTAGCATTAAGTCATGAACTCGTAAGCTTTCATAAACTCAGCTCTTTAAATTAACCATTGTCATTTTATTTTTTGCTCAGATTCACACAACTTGTCAAGTGGGATCTCGCTTCACTGGCTCCTTTATCTTTTCAGCATTGCCTATCAGAAATCAGACTCTGGATTTCTTTCTGGAAACAACAGAATCAAAATCCATCCTGATTTTTTTTCTGCCTCAAGTCATGGAATCAACTCCAAAGAGACGTGATTCCTTTCAGTTAAAAAAAAAAGCATTAGAGATTAAAATCTGGGTGCCTGGGGTGAGCGGGTGAGAATGAGTTAGTGTTGGGCAGGAGTGCTGCTTCTGTGGCTGTTATTGGACCATTTCGTTGTGACAGAGCTGAAAACACATATTTCTTTTAAGGTCACAAAATCACATTGATTTCTTCTATATATTTTCTATAGAATTTCACTCTACATTTCTAATGTGATTCCATCAACCACTAAGACTTTCTCCTAAATTGACATTTCATATAAAGTGAGTTATAAACTGTCGACTAATTTCAAAACACCTCCTGTGCTAGTCCTCTCCTCTCTGTCCCCACTATTTGCCCCCTAAGCCAGAAGCCCCATTTTGGCCAGATCACAGCCTCCCAGTTGACCCCCAGGTTCCAGTCCACCCACATACTACTACTGGACACATCTTCCTCTAGCACCTTCTTCACAACCACACCCCTTTCCTATAAAAATCTTTCAGTGGCTCTTCTTGGTAAGTTCCATTGGAGCTTCCTAGAGCTTAGCCCAGCACAAGGCTGCAGAGGAGGACCCCCTGCAGTGCCTTAGCTTTGCTGCTCTCCCCCCCAGACTGCTTAGGACTGGAATGCAGTCTCTCCACTTCTTCCTTGCTGCCCCCAAAGGGAAGCATTCAGATCTTGTTTCATTCTAAGGATTCTCTGGTAATCACTAAAAGTAAAAAGACGTGGGTGAGTAGCAGAGCTGCAAAACACTGGAGAGTTACAAAGCACATGAAGTTCAGTTTAGTGGTTTTGGTCTCTGGGAGGCTGGCAGTGACTGGCCTGGCCCCTGGGGCTTGGCAGGGAAGAAGCTAGAAGAACCTGTAGGGCTGGACTGAAACATGCAAGGGCCCCAGGCAGGCTAATGATTTTCAATCCTTCAAACCAAACAGTTCTTATTGTATGTCTTACTTGTTTGGGTTATATTATTAGAGTTCATCAAGAATAAGGAAGGCATGGATTTACGGATCCAAATGACTCTCTTAGAATCCCTAGACTGGTGACACTCGGTTCCTAAGCCTCTGGGAAGCTCTAGAATGATCCCTTCTGGGTACCTCCTCAGAGCTCCCTGTCATCTCTCACATCTTATCTGAGCCACCTTTCCAACCTGACTGTCTACTGCTTCCCCAGCTCCCCCGCCTTTTCTTCCCCTCCCTCAGTATGTCTTCTTCCAGCCTTTATGCCCCAAGGGACAGGACAGGTGGAGAGCAGCCCATCCCCATATTCACATCCTATCCTGTAGTCATCTGCCTCCTCTCCCCTCCCCACTTGCTTAGCAAGTAGTGAAACCTGCTAAAATCACTAATAACCTCCTGTTGAAGCAAGCAGTGGGTACATCTCAGTTTTTGCCTTACTTCAACCCTGTAGCATTTAGAACCTGTTGATCACTATGCCCTTCTTTTGACTTATAAGACAATATTTTCAACTAAGTCTTTTCCTGCTGCTCTAATGACACTACTGATCTCCTGCAGCCTCTACCGCCCCCCCCCCCCCCCCCCCCCACTAAATGACACATTGAATACATCAGATGGTAGTGAGTACTACACAAAAAAATAAACCAAGGAAAAGAGGGAGCATTAGGGAAGGGGATTGGAAGGTTTAAATAAGATGGCCAGAGACACTGGA